AGATTCATAAAATGATCCAAGTCATTTCTATAAAAATGTTGCTTGTATTTGCAGTCTCACAAAGTTTTTAGAGTTAGAGAATGAGGGAGCTATATGCAGGGAATTATATATATCACCATGATAGAGGGTAGAGTGGCACATTTGTAAACATCCTCCCAGATGTTTATGTTTCTGGAAAAGAGAAACATTCTAGAAATTGTACGGTTGGTAACTAATTTAAAAAATTTTTAATTGTGGAAATTTTGCAACAATATAAAAGAGCAAATTGTACAATGAATCTTCAAACAAGTTTCAACCACCACTAATACTGTTCCATCTATATATTATAATGGGTTGATTTGTCACATCCCCCAAATATGTTACAGTCCTAATTTCTAGTACTTGAGAAGGTAACCTTGTTTGGAAATAGGGTCTCTACAGATTTGATCAAATTAAGATGAGGACATTATTGTGGTCCTGAATCCAATATGATTACTGTCCTTGGAAACTGGCAAAATCTGGCCATTTTCCAGAAATTCATGGCAGAAAAAGGAGGATGCAATGTGAAGGTAGAGGAGTTAGGACTGATGCAGCCAGGAGCCAAGGATTATCAAGGACTGCTGGCAACACTATGAGCTAGGAAGAGGCAAGGAGGGAAAAATCCAGTTTCAGAAGGAGTAGGGTTCTGCCAGTACCTTGACTTTGGGCCTCCAGAACTGTGAGACAATACATTTCTGTTGTTTTAAGCCAATTGGTCTGTGGTAATTTCTACAGCCATAGCACAATAATATAAACCCTTATCTCTCTTCCAATAAATTATGCTACAGGAGATCTCAGACATCAATTATTTCATGCATAAGTGTGTCAAAGTTACACTTATCGCTGTCACTGAAATGAACACTATTGTTTGTAATTATTTTTGTCCTTAGGATATAAACTACAAATAAATGAAATTGCTGTGATATAAAGGAATTTGAAATAATTATCTATGTTGCTAAACTAACCAACCTGAAACACAATTAGGGTCATTTGTTTCATTTTGCTCTCAACATCTGGGGGA